TTAATTAAATAATTAAATAAGTCTAAATTCTATTTATTTTTTTATAATAAATAAATAAATAAATAAAATAAATCATATACAATAATGATATATTATAAGTGAGTGAAAGTCCGTTAAATATCTTCCCGAAAAAAATATAATATATATACATATACATACATACATACATACATATATATATATATATACACATACACATAAATATATTAATACGTGTCAGGTAAGATATTATCAGGACCACGATATATAGCCATTAAATTCGCAGCAATCAAAATCAAAAGGAATTTAGCCCATCTCCAAATTAATCTAAAGAATGAGTAAATGCTTCTTGCCCATCTTTTCCAAAACCATTCTCTTATTAAATTTATTTTATCTTCATCAAATTCATCCAAGAAGACAAAATCATCGCTTAGTAATGACATACTATCATCAAAGAAGAAGCTTTTCTCTGATGTGGGTGAAAATGATGGCGGTGATTCAAAAACTCCCTCAATTGGTTTGTGATAATCAAAAGTACGACGAAATTCATCTTCCAATTCTGAAAGCAAAGTCCTTTTAATTTTTCCTCCTAGTCCACCGCCAGGGCTAGGCGGGGCAGCACCAAATAATGATCTATCAGGATTACTTAATCTTCTTAAAGTGTTGGAAATTTGATGCTCAGAGAAAGAATTTGATCTTGAGGCAAACCTTGAGGTTGCTCTTGAATATGGCATTCCTGATTTCATGCTGACAACTCTTGAACGTTCGTACTCTAAAGATTCTGATAAATCATTGATTAACTCTGTTTGTTGACGACATTGCATTTGTAGGATTTCATAGTTTTGTGAATCGTTAGCCAACTGATTACATTGTTCCTGCAAAAGATCTAATTCATTCGTGACCATAGACAATTTTCTTTCGGTTTCAGACTTTTTCTTCTCGATATGATGATTTTGTTCTTCCAATTCTGCCACTTTATTCACCAAAGCTTCAATGAAGGCGTCATTTTTCGAAGTTTTCTTGTCGTATTTTAATTGCCAAAAATCAGACTTTTGTTTTTGGAGCAAATTTTCAGTTTGTTTTTCAAGATCCTCGATTTTCAGAGTGGCCTGAGAATAACGATCTTGATAATGTTTTAAGTCGGATTCGATTTTACGTATTTTCGTTTTATTAACTTTGTCTGTATCGGTAAATTCTCTCATGACTTCATCAAGTCTTGCTTGAAGATCTTGGTTTCTTGTTTCCAATTCTTTAATCACCTCGACTTCTTTATATGTTAATTGTTGGTTGTTATTATTGTAATTATTATTATTTATATCTTTTTGGGTAGCACAAATAATGTGACTTTACATGATTTTCACATATAGAATAAAAATAGAATGATTACAACTGCTAGACGTGTCATCAATTTCATATCATGCTATAAAGAGTACAATTCAAACATAAAAGATAAGCATTAGTTATACAGGTATAAGTGAATTTACATCATCATTATTATTATTATTAGATTAGTCGGAATTGTTTTAGAATTTAGCCGAGTCGTCAACAGTCTCCTTAGTATCATCTTTTTGTCATTATTATTTTACCCATTTTGGTTTGCTGCTTTTGATGATTTAGTTATAATATGAAATTGAATTTTTTGAAAATGAAAAATTACATATTTAAACATTTGAATATGTGGAAGGATAAAATGAGTTGTCATTTTTTCTTTTCATGGACGAGGAAATATTTTCTTTTTTTTAAAAAAATAATTAGCTCATAATTAAATGTTAGTAGAAAGGGCCAATCAACGTTTAGTCGGCATAATGCAAGTTGCAATTTGAAAATAATATAAATATACCTTTACAAAATTTACTAGGGACAGGTTGCGTTCTTATTCAATATGATTTGCTGGAGCAGCTTCCATCTCGCACCGGAAGAAGGAGTTGTTTAACAATTTAGTTTAATAAATTAGCAATTCACAATTTCAGGCTTGTTGTGTTTTACCTTTTGATGAGAGTATGATTTTATTTGACGTGTGATAAACTGATTTTTACGACTAACACTTCCCTTCATGTGCGTATATTATATATGTATGTTTGTCGCGCATGAATTTGGAATAAAAAATTCAAACATCCCAAACTATGTTGAATCTCGATCATCCTGAATTGTTGAATGAAAGAATGAACGCGTATTTCAAAAATATCGGGGGTTCAGTAACGAAAATATTACTATTGGAAATAGTCATTATGTTTTTACTGTTGGTTTCAAATTTATGAACGGAAAAGGTTATAAAGTATTTGCTAAAACCATTATTTTTTTGTTTCAAAAATTTTATATAAAAATCAGTCCGGTCTTCTTTTTTTCATGGCGATCCATAGTCTTTTACCAACGTATGTGCAAAGGGTATATATTTTCGACAAATACTTCGTCTGTACTAATGTTATTATTGTTCACATCTGCTGCATAAGGCATATCAGTATATGGGTATACTATTAACTTCATCACCAGTTGTTGAAGCTTCATTGATGAGTTTTCAAAGTTGAAGATTGTGACAGATGTAGTGATCGAAAGCTAAAATAGACAAAGTTCAATACGAAGTTCCACTTGTAAGCCAACTCGCGAGGAGCTTTAATTCAAGAAAAAAAAGAATATATATATAGACTTGAAATAATTTTTAAAGACATAAAAATGGTTTGTGTCACAAATAGAAGGTACACAAATACAGTCATTGTAAATTCTTTAATATTAGTAAAAAATGTATGAATTTTTATCAACATTACGAACAACACTTAGTAATTATTCCTTTGATCTTCCGACATCAGTTTTTACGACAAATAATAATCAAATATATTTAACAAAAAGTCAAATTGACATATTAAATAAATTTTCAAATTATTATCCTTCATCAATAATTAGAGATGTAACTGTTACTAAATTAGTTAATGACATATCATTACAAGGTCAAATATTTAAGAAATTAACCACTTCTAGCATTAGAACTTCAGCAGATTTATCAAAATCAATGTATTTTATTATTGATAAATTGGACAAAACTAAATTTGAAGATTTACTAGTTACTGATCATAATAGTGTAAAAAATAATAATGACATTAGAATTTGGGTTGATTCAGAAGTGTTGTTGAGTGAAGTTATGAAGAGATGTGATCAAACGAGAAGTGAGTACACTAATATTACTAATAGTTTAAATACAATTCAACATCTTTTACAAGAAAGAAAAACTGCCATTATTAACGAAGAAAAGAAATTGGTACAAAATGACAGATTACAAAATCATGGTGCTACAAAAGGAGCATTAGCAGGTCTAGGTTTAGGAACAGCTATTGCCATCCCATTATCTCTATTTATATCACCTTTTGATGGTGGCATAACATTGATTAGTACAACTTTGATGGGTGGAATTATAGGAACTGTTTATCATGAAAAAGATCATGATGATGTGCTCTCTGATAAAAAACAGGCAAAAACTTTATTATTAAAGGAAGATCAAAAATATATTGACTCTGTTGTTGTTGATGTTAAAGAAATTAGGAAAAGCGTTGGTGTATTTGAAAATTATTGGTTAAATCAATTCAATTTAATTGGTGATTCTAAAAATTTGATTATAAATAAAAAAAACAATATTATCAATGATAAATTTTCAACTCATTCAATTTTAAAATCATGGATTCAAGCAAGAAAATATTTTGATAATTATCAACAAACTGTAACCAATTTACAATAAAAATCAAAAATTTTTATTATTTCATTTTTTTTTTGCAATTAAAAATTTATTAATGTAGTTGATTATTTGATTTCTTTGATCAATTTTGAATAGCCAAATATTTTGTCAAAAAATTTTCTCAACTTTTTAATTCTTTTTTCAATTCAACAACTTCACTTTTAATTAATCAAAATTCAGATAATAATTTAGTTACATCTCTACACCATTCTTAGTATTATTATTATTGTTGTTGTGTGATATATTAAAATTACATCTGTCATTATTATCATTATTAATCTCATAAGTAACAGATTTAAAAGTGAATTCTTCATATTATCAACATCAACAAGATGAAGATGATGACATCATTTTTGAAAAACATTGATTAATTCCTGATTTAATAGTTTTATTAGTAGTAGAAGAAGCAACTGGGCCTGTTTCTCAATATGATCCAATATGATAGCATTGCCATATGCACCATACTTCCTATCAAATAGATTAATGGGGAATGTTTGTACATTTTTGAAATAATCCAGTCTATTATCACCTCCAAAATAATTTATATAGGATTAGCAGTGCAAGGCATCCACCAATTGTTGGTATTAGATCATAAATTCCAAATATTTTCTTTCATGATTTACAAGCATTTTATATCCTTTGCTATTTAAGTCATAATCAGGTCTGCATTATAATTGTGTAGTGGGAGATGAATGAATGAATGGACAATAAATTTTGGATTTAGATTTAGATGTAGATTTAAATTATGTATAAACCTTATCCATATATTTTCATATAGACAAGCATTTACCTTATATGAATTTCTTTGTATCATTTTGAAATATTGGTAATGCTCTTCTTGAAATTGACACATCATATGAAATTTGGATTTTTTTATCCTATATATAAAAATTTTTTTTTTTAATTTTATCTAATGAAGAAAAATTACATCCAATCTCAATTTATTCACTCTTACCAATTTGTACAATTCCCTTCTTGAAAATGTGAATAACGTTTCGCTGGTAAATTAAAAAAATCAGGATGAACATGAAATGGATTTTGTGACATGGCCAAAAAATTACAAATTGTACTACAAAAGGTATTATTTATTAAAAAATAAATTCGCTGGAAATTATAAATTTTATGAAAATTTTTATTTACCCCAATGATGAATCAGGAAGTAAAGTTTGTAGTTTCATTTGAATATTTAATTCTTCAATGACATTTGGCTTGAATTGTGATGAATTTGATGTTGTCAAAATATAACAGTCTCTTACATTTGGCAACTATGTTATCAATAAAAACAACATGCCAATTAATTACAATTGTTATTGGTAGTAATAAATATATAATAATAATAAATTTATGCCAACTTTCATTGGAAGTGTCAAGGAATATAAATTTGAATTGTTCTAAAGGACACTGACTCCACCATGATGCATCACATTCTTTTGTGGTATTACCAGACAAACCCATAAAACATTTAGGTTGAACATTCATATTTGGTCCACAAACAACAATTTCTGATATCAAAGCTTGTGTTCCAATATCAAATTTAGTTTCAATTAGTGGTCTATCTTTTGCCAAAATAAATTTACTGACATCATAAACCACAAATATTACAAATACAACAAAAAATGATAAAATTGTCAAAAGCTTAATTATATGCTCCAATTTGTGATTGGATATTAATATGAATGTAGAAAAACTTTTGAAATTTATTTTTTGTGTTATGAACCATCTTTTTCTTGGAATTAGAAATGAGCAGACAAGGAATTAGAATTGATTATTCATGTACATGCTGCCCAAACCCAAATCATTGGGGTTATGGCATCCAGCTTGTTGAAGAAATCCAAATCCCGAACTACTTTGTACACCCATGGCATTCTGTTCCCAACCAATAAATGCCTAGGATTTGTGAAAGTGATCAGCAACCCTTTTGTTACACTATATTATTATTGGTTAGAAAAACGGGGCAGAAAGATTGATCAACAAAGTAATTTAGGATTTGGGATTCTTGAGTTTTAATTTGGGCAACACTTATAGAATTGATGGTTTATAGAAAAAAAAGTAAGCCATTAGATGATGATTATGATGATATTTGTTACAACTAGATGATATATATCATCATTGATTAAAGGGATTTTTCTAATGCAAATTATCATAATAATTAATAATGATCAACACAATTTTTTTTTAATAAATGTGATATCAATTCATTTAATTTATCAATTTTTGAATTAAAAAAAAGAAAAAGTCTTCAATAAAATTGATCAATATTCTAAGTCAGTTTAGTTTTGAAATCAATCAAATTTCAAAATTAACTTGAAAAAATATTTTTTCTTTTCATTATAGTTCCTCTTGTCCACATTGCAGTATCAAAGTCTTTTTTCATTAATTATTAACATTTTTTTAATTGATCCATTCTTTGATCCAAGTCATGAAACAATTACATTTTGCACAACATTTTCATTAAAAAAGATTTTACAAAATGCAACTTTCAACATAATATTTTTACATTCCTTTGATTTGCTGTTTTATAGTCATCCTATACAATTTATTTGCAATATTCTTTTGTTAAAAGTTCTTTGCTTTTCATTTATCAATGACAAAAATATAGTCTTTTAAGTTTTTC